ATCCCGGTCCCCCCCCCCCCCCCCCTCCTACCGCTTCGCGCTTGGTGATGTGAGAGCCTGGTCCGGTGAGAACCCGGCGTGCTCCGTCCCGGCTTTGTAGGGATGCGAGGTCAATGGTCTAACGACTACGGCATGCACGACTATGAGTACACCCCCCCCTCCTACCCTCACCCACCTACCTCGCTTTGGGACCCATGGCTCGCGCGGCGGGAACAGGTTCGAGAGTGTCTCCGCCTCAACGCGCGCGTCAGCCGGATAGCCATCTTGGACGCCGACAAGGCTGCTGCCGCCGCCGCTATTGCCGCTAACAAGACGAGCGGACGACCAGCAGCGGTGGCTAAGGCCGGACATGTACAGGTGGTTGTTCATAAGCAGGCGGTGGTGGGAGGGTCCGGGGACGGCGCGGAGGAGGAAGAAGAGGAGTTGGTGCTGGCGGAGGCGGTGATCGTGGCGGTGCCGCTGTCGGTGTTGCAGGAGGGGACGGTGGAGTTCGATCCCCCTCTATCTGAGGTGTGTGTGTGTGTTTGTTGTCCCCGGTATTTTGTTTGTTGGTGCTTGTGGCCGGCGTCGCTGTTGTGCCATAGTCGTTTCTCTCTGGGATATTTCTTATTGCTCGTGTTTTGCTTGTTGTTGTTGTTGCTGCTTGTGGCCGACGTCGCTGTTGCTGCTACATTGCTGTTGTCGTTTTTCGCGATGGTGGTTCCTGTCGCTGGTAGTTTGTTTGTTGTTGTTGCTGCCTGTGGCCGACGTCGATGCTGCTGCTATTGCTGTAGTCGCGTCTCGCCTGGGTGACGTGCTACTGCATCTGCTGTTGGTGTTTGTTAGCTCTCTGGAAACGTAGTATCGTTATTTTCTCTAGCCTGACAAACCAGGTGTGTTGAGATTGCACATCATTTCTCTCGGTACGTACGTAGAATCAAAACTCCCGAATGGAAGGAGAACGCAGGCATTACCTGAAAACACAAACTCTAGCATGACGCCCATCAACTAGTATCGATCCACATCAGTTGTGCGCGCATCACTCCCGCTGTTTTAAGAACCCCAGCACGCTTGGGACAACATCGTGCATGGGTAACTCGTGCCACATTGTCGTTGTGGAATCGCCAGCTTACGACTACTGCTGCTGCTGCTGCTGCTGCTGCTGCTGCTGCTGCTGCTGCTGCTGCTGCCTGCCGCTGCTGTGCGGGTTCAAACGACGCCACCCCAGGAGACCAGCTCGGCCTTGTCCAGGCTCAGCATGGGGAACTACGAGAAGATCATGATGGAGTTCGCGGAGCCCTTCTGGCCCGCCGACACCCCGTTCATCGGGTGCTGCACCCCGTCCCTCGAGAGAGCGCCGCCGGCCGCACCGGTGCCAACAACCGCACCGGGGCCAGCAACCGCCGACGGAGGGTCGTATTCCCCGACTCCCCCCGCTCCGAGACCGAGGACGACGGTGTCGGGATCGGCGCCGCGGATGACCGCCGACGGTGGCGGGGCCGCACCGCCATCATCGCCGGGTGCCGCGAATCCGTCGTCTCTCCTTGCCGCGGAGAACGGCCATACCCCGGCATTGGCAGCTGCTGCTGCGGGAGCAGCAGCTACACCGGCGGCGGCGGCGGAATCGGCGGTTGTTGGTGGTGCCCCGCCGCTCCCCGCGAGCCCTGTGTTTTTGGAGAACCACTTGTGGTCGAAAGGGGTGCCGGTGCTGACCGCCGCGGTTACCGGCGAGCGGGCTCGGATGGTGTCCGCCGCTGCCCGTACGATGGTTGGGGGGGAGGGGGCGGGGAGCAGCGGGGCGGCGGAGGATGGTTGGAGGGCCTCGCACGCTAGAGAGATGTACCGCAGGTTGATCAAGCCCGCGCTCGTCGAGGGTTTGGGGGGGAAGGGAGAGGACCTACCGGAGCCGGTGTCGGTGTTCGTGACAAGGTGAGAGAGAGAGTGGACGAGGTTAGAGGTCAGGTTCTACTGCTGCTGCTTCTGCTGGCCGCCTTCCATCTCTCCCCCCGTCATGGCTGTGCGGCCCTTCTGCGAAGTAAACTAGCCCCCATACGTGCTCGTCTATCCTTTGGGATCTCTCATCAATGTATGTGGTAAATGCTAATGTTTGTCTCTCTCGGCCCCTGTAAACAGCTCAATGTGGTAGATGCGTCGTCGCCCGGTACGTGCCGGGTGTACGTAAGACACTCACAGAGGGCTCCATTTGTGTTTTATCACGAAATCAACTGCTTGCTTGAGACGAGACAATACATGGGCACCCCGGAAAGCGCTCGGCTCCAAAATGTTCGGGTTGCAACACGCGAAATGCACCCATCCATCCACCTGTCCTTTCTCCGCCCCTACACGCAATCGTGTCTTGTGTGAACGAAAAATAAAACACCGCCCGATCATTATCCAACGCCTTTCCCTAACAAAAAAAACAGCTGGGGGCAGGAGCCCTTCCAGCGAGGCTCCTACAGTTTTTTCCCCCTGGGGGCTCGAGACGACGATATTCACACGGCAGGGCGGGGGGCGGCTTTCGGGCCGCCGGGGGGGGCCGCGGAGGGCGGCGAAGGGGGGGGGTCCGAGCGAGTTTTCTTCGCGGGGGAGGCCACGGTCCCAGGGCTAGAGGGAAGCATGCATGGGGCTTATCTATCCGGGGTGCGTGCGGCAGAGGACGTCGCGTATGCCTTCGGCTTGCCCCTGTGACCCAAGGGGAGACACAACGAACGCGGCGTGGCATAGTGGTATTGTCGATGTCGATGGTGGTGAGGTGGTGTCCAGGGGCATCGCGTGTGCTTTCAGGTGGCCCCTGTGACTCGGGGGAGACGACGAGCGCGTGGGCGGCGGTTTCGTTGATGTTGATGGTGGTGGGGTGGTTTCTGGGGACGTCGCGTGTGCTTTCGGCTCGCCCCTGTGAATGTTGGGAGACGACGAATGCGTCGTCGTGGTTTCGTCGTTAGGAGTTTGATGACGGTCGTCGTGGTGGTGGTGGCGGTGACTGCGGTGTCGCTTGAGGAGGGGGAAACGTGTTCATGGCGTTCCTACTTGTTTTGGGCGTGGCTTCGTCTTCGAGGTGGTGTAGCGTTCGGCGGTGGTGGTTGCTGTTGTTGCCGGTGGTGGTGGTGGTGGTGATGTCGTTGAGGGTGTTGGGTTTTCCTCGTTTAGATGCTTGGACGAATGGACGGACACCTATCGCGTCAAGAAGAGACAAGAACAAGTTGGTTGTTTCGTCGACAAGACGAAAGGGTAGACTTTCGGCATGCGATCCTACGAAAGCAGCCCCTCTTGAAGGACAGACGGGCGCCTGGCAGGAAAATCCCGGGAAAGCGCAGCCTGTGTTTGTGATGGTACCGGGGTGTGTGTCTCTTAAGTGCATCCTGCGTTGGGCTAGTTCGGGATTGACTACATAAACTTGAGCTTGCAGGCAATGTCAGCATTGTTTGTACCGTCCTATTCCACGTTGGCAGGCATGCGGGCACGCTCCCCGTTGTGCAGATAGATGTGGTTCGTGTTGCGTGAGGATGGGTTCAGCTATCGGCAATAGTCTGGGCCCGTGGTGTGCGGCCTATGTTTCTCAAACTACGGTGCTAAGTAGATATTGAAACAACCTGACTTCATTCAGTCTCGCGGGTGAGTTTTTATTGCTTTCGCGTGCACGCTGGAAATTTCTTTTTTGGCGCATGGCAGCCAAAAAAACGCTACGGCGACCCGTCAAACGACGTAATAGGTATATGAGCACAATAAGGATTAGGGGAATTATGTGCGTTTGGCAGTATGTTGCGGGGGAGAAGATTAAGAGTGGCGTGGTACGCTACAATGACGCCAGCAGACGTTGGGGTTGGTTGTCGTTGTCGTGGGGCTCTTAAGCCAGCAGCCTCGCTTCATATGTGGATAGCTTCAGTAGCTCCTGATGAGCTGTTTCTATCTTGTAGAGCCAGCCTCGCTATTATTTGGAACACTACAGCTCTTTCGGTGAGCTACTACTAAGCTCTCTTGGCGCAGACGTTGTTTTCCCCACCGACCGGGTGATGACCACAACGTGTGTCGTACAACAAACCAAACCAAACCAAGAAAAAGCAGTTAGTTGCACGGGCGGGCCTAGCCTAGAATAATCGATGGCACAACTTGTACGGTGGTTGGGGAGAGTGTGATGGGCGAAATATACATTCAGTTCGAAAAATGACCCGAAACTGTTAGGAACGTAAAACAAAGGTGGAAAGCAGGCCGGGGGGGGGAGGAGGGCAGTGCGGGTGGCAAGAACATACTAAAACAAGGTGTTCAGATCGAACTATGACACCAAGGTGCGGGGTGGGTCGGCAGATGGTGGTTTCGATTGGGGGGGGGCGGCAGGGGATATTGGAGAAGTTTTTCTGGCCTCTT